TTACAATATATGATACTTTATAAAGTATTACCAATTCAAATATAGGTAATATTTGAACTGATTCTCAAAAATTTATCTTAAATTTCAGTTCAAAATAAAAAGATTTCAATTAAATCTGCATGCGGCTTCAATCAAAAGGGTGTGAATAATAGGCCCATTTTTACACGTCCATGTAATGCGTACGGCTTCCAAGTTTTATCATTTCATTTAAGTGAAACAATCATTTATAGGCGCCTTTGATAAATTTTCCTTATAATGGTTTCCAACACATTTTGTGTTTAAGGTGGCAATAACATTTTCGTTTTATTACAGACGTGTCAATTTAATCTATCTATACAGAAATAAAATAGGTTTTTTTTAAGTTAAACGAATTTAATACTTTCTTAGATTTATTTATTTATTTAAAATTTTATTACATTTTTTAAAACACTAATCTAAACACTAACAGCGCAACAAAAACCATGTATGATTTTCCCGTGCACTGCGGATTCATGCGCGGTAGTTGATTAAACATAAATCTATTAAAAACAGGTAAGAATATCACCAACTTACTTGCGTTATTTATATTATTTCGAGACGGCAGTGGCTTGTCACTGCACTAGCGTATACTGGTTTGTAATACAACTGTTTATACAGGAATTTACACGAATACTTGACATTTTAAATAAAATCCCGTGACCATGATTGCTGTAAAGCATTCGAAACGTCGGGAACCAAAAATCAAAATAAATTCGCGGAAAAATCTGAAAAGATAGTTTTATTTAAACAAATTTATTGAAAAGAAAAATAATAATGATGTACATAATGAACTAAAAGCTAAGAAGTAATTAGGGTCCTAGGTACCACACACCCACTTCTCATCAATCTAGGGCATTGATCAGGCTCAAAATTAAAATCGTGCGGCGTTACATACTCAAGTTACACTTTTTATATTTATTAGTTTTTTTCTTATTTAGCCTAAATATTTAATTCAAAGGCAAACTTAAATATACAATAAGAAGATCAAAAGAAATATTTACTTACCCCCGCCCACTTAATCGAGCGAGGGACGATTAGGAATAATACTTAGAAGCTGCGAGTGAGAACTATTAAATTATATAAATAATTAAGTATTATATAAATTTCTACTTATTCTATTTAAAACTACTTACGTTATTATATATAACTAGCATTGCCCGCGACTCCGCTTGCGTTCAAATGACCAAAAACCAAATTCTTAGGTTTTACATATTAGTATACTCTTACATTACAGTTTTTGTATATTTCTCAGAAATGAGATGTTTCCTTTGGTAAAAAGTATTTTATATGTTAACCCGGATAACCAGCTATCACCATACCAAATTTCATCAAAATTGCTGCAGTAGTTTTTCTGTGCGGTAACAGACAGACAAAAATTCTAAACACTATAGATTCGGCCTCTGTATCGATAATAATGTTTATTTCAGTAAGATTTTCCAAAAAATATCTAATGTACAGATTTGGCTTAGTTACAATTTTAATTTTAATATATATATATACTATAGATTATTTGACTCCTAATATGACTCTTGATTTATGTGTGTTCTAGAAAGTTAATATGTAAATTAACTAATTAGCTTGTGCCAACAAGCTTCCGTATTTTAACAGTTACATGTACAATGTACATATATATATATATATATATATATATATATATATATATATATTTATATATAAAAGGCCATACGGTTCTAGACCAGCAAAATATTTTAAAAATGCTGCAAGATTGCAAGAAGTAAATACTCTTAATTATATTTCTCGTCTAATTTAAACAGGTCATTCCCAGAAGACTGAATAAAAATATTACTACGTGCGAGTAGATCCTTTTACAGAAAGGTGAAATAAAATAAATAGGATATAATTTTTAATGCAATATAAAATGTGAATTTCATTAGTGAAGTGATTTCGTAACTACCAAAACTCAGGCGTATATAAAAAATTATGTACGTTTAAATTTTTATATGTTTGACGATATAATATTTGGTAATATTTGCGTTTTTTTAGGTTTGCTATTTTTGATACATATATTGTCAACTGATTATGTAAGCTATGTAAACTTATTTGACTACATAAAGCAAATACATAAACAAAATTATTTTTTACCAAAAACAACATTTTTCACCCGACTGCAGCGAAGCCCAAAGAAGGGTTATGTGTTTGACTTCTATGTATGTATGTATGTCCAAACTTATGTTCCCTCATAATTACTAAACGATTTTACTGATTTTAATGATTCATACGCGTCGATTCGTTTTAATATATGGATGGTTATGGTTATATAGATAGATATCATTAAAAATCAAAACTTGTGACTCTAATTTTTTTTTGGACGAATCAATCGAGTTTGGGGCATTAAAATACAGATTTAAGACGCAAATACAAAAATATATACAAGTTATATCTTTAAAAGTAATTTAAGAAAATAAATCGTTAAATAAAACTGAAAATGTCTAAATGACCAGAAATAAAAAGATGTAAATAAAAAAATAATTTACAAAAACAAAAAAAAAACCTGAATGCTTAGAAATCGAACTAAAAAGATGAGAGCAAGTTGACACAGGAACATAGTAATATATTATGCAGTCAGAGATATATGCACGTTTGATACTAGCAGTGAGTCTTGCTACGTTTATTATATGTCTGCGACTAAATAGTACTGTCTTCCTTCGTCAACTTGTTCTCATCTTTTTAGTTCGATTGTTACGCGGTTTGTTTTTATTATTTTTGTAATTGTTTATTTAATAGCCACTGCCAAACCTACTAGAACTATTATATATGTATTTGTACTAAGTCCTCAATATTTAAAAAAGACCCTCTTATAAATAGAGACGTACACTACTAAGAGCTGATACTCTATCGTTAGATCTACTCAAAAATTAAATAAAAAATAGCTTATTCTTAATTTTGTCTATTAATTGTTTAGGATATATTGTAGTTGATTCCCCATACAAACTTTCATCTCCATTTTCTCCCCCTTAAGAAATTATTTCCGGGATAAATAGTATCCTATGTCCTTCTCAGGGTCTCAAACTATCTTCTTACTAAATTTCATCTAAATCGGTTCAGTAGATCCAGCGGTTACCCCCTTACAGCGTCACAAACTCACAAACTTTACCTCTTTATAATATTAGTATAGATTTTAGAGTGATAACACTATAGGTTACAACAGATATATTGACATAAGGGTGAACCTTAAAACTCTTATTTTGGTTGGAGCTAAAAAGTAGATGGCACTTAAATGTTGATTTATTGGTGAACTGCTATGCTCAAGTGCTCTTCAAAATAATTACCTTGAAAAATATTCCATGACAAATAATCAAACTTTGGGATTGTTCTCTATATACAATCGCTGTTTTCTGTACTGCGGTGCTAAAGTCATCTTTTTCCATTTTCAAATATATTTCCATATAAAAAATATACTGGACAAACAAACGACATGAATAAAGTGACACAAAAAATACTTATTTTGACAGTACAGACAAATATCCCAATTTTATTTATAAGTATCAATTGAATCATGATGTGCTTGTAAATATTTTTGGAACAATTGTATAAATATAAGGCTTATTTTATGTAATATTTTTTTTAAACGTAAAGAGTCAAGAACAATATGAAGCAATATTTAACGACACATTACATATTTTATTCAGTATATTTTGTTTTGATTTTACTGTAAGTCAATATGAAGAAAAAACAGCTTATATATAAACGAAAACTTAGTTTTAAACCTTACAGTAACTAACCTTACCTTATTTGATGTGCACCTCAAAATGCTGTTGTAAGTTATTTAACGTCTATACAAAAATCGCACTACTATTATAATTACAAAAGTATATGTGCTTCTGCTTGTTACGCTGAAACTACTGAACGGATTTTGGTGATATTTAGTACACAGATAGACATTTTTATCACCCATTGGTATCTTGAAATAAATGATTTAATACTAAAAAATATATTAACTAATGTAATGATAAATATTGTATACATTTTGTATTATCTTTATAGGAATTGCACTAATAATTGTTCAACAACCACAGGAGCAGCTTCACGACTTTTTTCATCAGCAATAAACTTTTTAATTACCACACAATGTTTTGTTCAAGAAAACACCTTTAATAATATAAAAAGTAAGTATCTGATTGACTTACAATTTTTGATTCATAATTGTGGTTCTAATTATTATCTTTATACCAGAGAATTATAATTTATGACTTTTGGATATTATATTTTTTTTGTTTCCTATTTGCAAAAGATTGTAGATGTCTATGATCTCTTGTCTAAGCTCCCTGTAGCGACTTGTTATCTGTCTAAGAACGATAACTACGCGATACTTAAAAATTAAAATTTAAAAAATAGCTTAAAAATTCAATAACAATATACACCACATTGTCTCAACGTCGAAATTATGTCAAATGCTCTTTATACCACTTTTGCTCACAAACAGCAAACCTTTATAGTACTTAATGAAGCCAACGTGGGTGGTAGCTAGAAATGTAATACAAAATTTTACAGGACGACGGGACACACAGGATAATTAATAAGGACTGCTGTCTTGTCAACGAAACTTCATGCTAAAAGCATAGAATTGCATTGAATTACTGTGTATTTTACTGAGTGTAAATTCCTAATGTTTAATTTTAAGTATTCTTAAATATAACAATATGTATTTAATTTTATTAATTATATGCAACGAATATATATTACACTATTGCCCGATTTCACCAACAACCCATAAGCCTACGTATGGGATGCCTAGCTTAAAATTCCCTTAACGTAGCCCCTAAATTAAATTTCGTTTTACCATCGCCTTTAAGCCCATATTTCGAGCACCTAAATTTAGGGGGCCTTTTAACATTTAGGTGACCCCTAACTGTCGGTGAAACTGAAACTGTCCCCTAACAGCCCCCTAACCATGCTTAGGGGATCCCTTAAACTTAGGTGACGTTGGTGAAATCGGGCATAAACCTTTTGACTGCTTCAACATGTACATTATTTTTGTCTCAGATTACGAGACGTTCAATTTCATAGTCGTCGGTGGAGGGTCTGCAGGAAGTGTGGTAGCTAGTCGTCTTAGTGAAGTAACGCATTGGAATGTATTACTTTTGGAAGCAGGTCTAAATCCACCTATAGAATCTGATGTAAGTATCAATTATCATATATATGTATATCCTTAGCATACCCTCTCCTTCACACAATTAATCGACTTTTTATTAGTAACAACTCAGAATTTTATATTTATACCCAACTGATAAAAGAAGGTTATTTTCATCAAGCGATACCCAACATTATTTTGAAATGGCATTTATATATATACAAAAAAATTGTTATAGCAATTTTTAATATACATATCAAATGAAAGTTAAAAAGTGTGAATGCCAGGCGACAATATTTTAAGATATGAATATATAATTGGTAAATATGTGTTTTACGTATCGAAATATATTAGATTTGCTTTGCATCGGCTGGCACCGACTTCGAAAATATCTGATTAAGTATCTATTTTAAATGGAAACCCCTGTTTACTTATTTTTTTTACATTTTAGTGCCTGGAAGTCGGTATTTTTAAGATTTTATTTTATTTTTTTATCAAATCGCTAACAACACGAACCTTAAAAGCAAATCACCGCACATTCTTTACTTTTATAATGTTTTAATATATTGATATTGATTTATTTTTTATAGATACCTGGACTACGTACTGAACTTATTGGCTCCAGCTATGATTGGCAATATGCAACTGAAAATGATGGTATAAATCATCAAGCATTAAAAAATGGTTCTGTGCCCTGGCCACGAGGAAAAATGCTTGGCGGATGCAGTTCGATCAATGAAATGATATACGTAAGAGGAAGACACTGTGACTTCAAAATTTGGGAAGAAGAAGGAAATCCTAGTTGGACATCGGAAAACATTAATTATTACTTTAAAAAGGCAGAAAATTTGCAAGATTTGAATTTATTGCAAGATCCAGATTTACGAGATTTTTATGGGCGGGAGGGCCATTTAGTCATAAACACATTTAACAGTACATACAGAGATATCACTGAGAAGGTTTTAGATTCTTGGGATCACCTTGGATTTAAAAAAGTGAAAGATATTAATTTGGCACAAATTGATGGCTATGGTGTTTCAGGAATATCAAGAGCAACTGCTGCAAAAGGTGAAAGATATAATACATATAAAGCCTATATAAAAACCGCTAAGCACAAAGATAATTTAAAAGTGATCATTGGTGCTTTCGTAACCAAAATTCTAATTAATGATAATAAAGAAGCATATGGAGTCGAAGTAGATATAAATGGAGAACGGAAAACGTTTTTTGCAAGTCATGAAGTTATTATTAGCAGTGGGGCTATAAATACACCACAGTTATTAATGCTTTCAGGTATAGGTCCTAATGAGCATTTGGTATCTCAAAATATTCCTTGTAAAATCAACTTACCTGCTGTCGGCAAAAACTTACAAGATCATAATTACATTCCTATTCTGATTTATGGAGATGAACCTGGAGAAGAAAAGCAAGAAGCTCAGATGTTCGAAGTCGCAAAATATATGTATAATAAAAGCGGATACCTTGCACATAACAGCTTTAGTGATATAACTTCATTTTACTCTCGCAATGAAAATATGGAATGTCCTGAATTTCAAAATCATTTTTTACTTTTAAGGAAAAATTCTACTAATGCTAAAAATATTTTTTTAGCTTATAAGGAAGAAATTGTGGATTCGTTTTTGGAACACATTTTTAAAAAGTCATTATATGTCTTTGTCGTTATCCATTTACATCCATTTTCTAGGGGATCAATACGTTTAAAATCCTCCAATCCTTATGATAAGCCAATAATTAATTATAGTTACTTTAAAGATGAAAGAGACGTACAGGCCACAGCAGAAGGCATAAAAATGCTAACTAAAATAGTAGAGACATCGTATTTTAAATCAATAAACGCATACGTTCATAGGCCTAACATATCGCAATGTAATGATTATAATTTTGAAAGCGATAATTATTGGAAATGCTATTTAAGAAATGTCGGCGTAACGCTATATCATCCTGTAGGTACTGCAAAAATGGGACCAAACCCAGAAAATGCAGTAGTGGATAATTTCTTAAGAGTACACAAAGCTAAAAAATTACGTGTTATAGATGCAAGCGTGATGCCTACCCTCACTAGTGGAAACACGAATGGCCCAACGATTATGATTGCTGAAATGGGCTCCGATATGATTAAACGTGAACACCTTGGAGGAAATATTTAACTTTTTATATTTAAAAATATCTTTTATTATGCAAAATATATGTTGTTCTATTATGTATAAATATTAATCAATAATTTTAAATAAATTCAAAATGCATATATATGTATAATGTTGAAATAAACATACAATTATTAATGTACATGCTACATTTCAAATCCTTAATGAATGAAATATTTTAAAACATAACAACTAAATGTCAGCCTTATTTTGTTAACTCAGTTAACTGGTATTATATTAAAATTTTTATTTTGGCGTTAAAGAAATTCTATATGCAATCTACTCTGTCGCCCATCTTGTTCCATTAATTTTTCGATTTTTGCATGTTTTATTAATATAACACTACGGAACTTAAACGCGTGGATTTATAAGTGGCAAATAACCTTATTCTCGAAGTTTCGACTAGGTTGCACCAACCGTGGGTACGGGCAAACTAGTGCACGATATCGATCTAGATCTTGATATTCGCAATTTATAATAGCCGCTAAACTCGATACTATTATTGGCCACGGGTGCGTTGTACAAACAACCGATTTAATTTATTATTAATTGAAAAAAAAAATGATATTCATTTAAAAGAGATTTCTTCCAGTCTAAATAGTGAATTTTCGTTTATGAATGTAACTTCAACATTTGTTATATGTTTTTAACGCTTGTTATATGTTTTTTTATGTTTTTATTCAAGATTTTTCAATCAATGTTACAAAATTCCATCTATATGAAGTCTGTTAAGAGAAATAAATTTAAAATTATTTTTAAGATTTGATAACATTTGGCATCTTTCCTATCCGATATGAAATTTAGATCAGACTGTGGCTTAGCCAAATTGAAAACTCTTGGTACGTTGGTGAAACAATGTAACACGTATACTACGACTATGAAGCGCTGAAAGCTTTTCTAGAATATCAAAATTCTGTAAAACAATTTATTTTGCTAGCGCTGCATATTTGTATGAGTGATGCTGTATGCGACCTGAACTTATTCATCGCAGATCTTTTTACAGTGTCAGAGTGTAAGATAAATAATATGAGTTATTCTCGCAACTTGAGTTCTACAATTCCTAATAATTTTTATGAATAGCCCCGGTGTTTTTACCTTATAAAACTAAGTTTTAAAATGATCTTCTGCAAAAAATGGACAACTTGGGGTAAATCAAGGAAAAATATATTACAATTTTTCATAAAAATATTTCAAATAGCAAATTTAGCTTTCAATTTTCTCCTAATGTAATATATGTTTTTTTATAATGTTGAATAAAAAATATACATAGTTTTAAAGACTAAACTTCTTTTATTTCTCACGTATAGAAGAGGAGAGAGGCCAAGTGTAGAGCCCCACTAACGCGTATTTTCCAGAGCATTAGTCTTGCAAGTATAAATTTTGCATTCTTTCTCATATAAATCTAATACATATTTGTATTAAAAAATGTAATAACATGATTATTTAGTAAAGTAAATATTTTTATAAAGACAATTTCATAATACTTTCTTAGATTTACGCGAATATTTGACATTTTAAATAAAACTATCTTTTCGGATTTTGTCGCGGCTTTATTTGCATTTTTGTTTCCCGACGTTTCGAATGCTTTATAGCATTCATGGTCACGGGAAAGACTGAGGTGTTACATGTCTCTAAGGTATACTTGTTACAGACAGCCTACCCACAATTAACAAAATGAAAATTTCACTAATTACCTTACAATATTTTAACTTTAAACATTTTTATAATTTTAATTAGTTTTATAATTTAATATTGAATATTATTTATTTAATCTCTATCTATTATCTTGTAATATAATATAACTTATTTTAATGAATAATAAATATTGTCAATTTTTACAAGATGGTAGCTACAGCTGTTCATATTATAATACCAAACTATATGATTAAAAAACTAAAAATAATATAGAATTAAAAAAAATAAAGTATGTAAAGTATAAATTAAAAAAAATGTATGTTTAATCATAAACATCAATGTCAGCATTTATCCTAGGCTATTATATTATTTTAAAGTTTTATACTACACATTTAACTAATTACTAGTTCTGTAAAGGGATAAAAACTCGTACCAAATCTTTTCGTGAGATTATTTAAACGACACAAAGTAAAGTCGCTTAAACCCACACACGTGCCAAATATTGCCCACTAAACAGTGGAACAGTTGGAATCTCACTACCTCGCGTCTATTACACTAAATATATACGAGTAAAATTAGCTGTGGAATGCATTTACCGATTGCTTATTTTGCCTTAGAATGGGTTCATATGGCACGACAATTCACTTTTTTTTGCCTTACACGTTTTATTTAATACGTAATAAATTATACCTATAAATTATGTTTTAGATCAATCGTATGTCTTTTGTAGCATAAAAAAAGTATACCGCTAAATACGTTCTACGTATACTTACCAGACTTGACAAGAAAATCCAATGAAATGCGGTTCTCAAAATTATGTTTGTACTTTGTACATCTCCAAAGATAGTTTTATTTATGCAATTAATTCCTATAAACTGCTTGAATCAATCATGGGATACCTGAATCAAGTAGTACCTGTTCTTTTCATAATTTTAAAGTTACTGAATCTTTCTTTGCTGAAAAAAGAATCATTACACAATTTCTCATTATAGCCCATCTGATTTAGTCAAGTAGATATACAATAATTGTAATAATAATTATAATATAATTATTATAATAAGCTATCTTTGGTTATAAACCAACGGAAGTTGTATACGTTAGTCTCTACTGTATAACTAAGCCAAATTTGTACATTAAATATTTTTTGGAAAATCTTATTGAAATAGACATTATTATCGATACAGAGGCCGAATCTATAGTTTTTAGAATTTTTGTCTGTCTGCCTGTCTGTTGCCGCATCACGGAAAAACCACTGAAAGGATTTTGATGAAATTTGGTGTGGTGATAGCTGGTTATCCGGTTCAACATATAGGATACTTTTTATCGCTGGAAAATATCTCATTTCTGAGAAAAAATACAAAAACTACAATGTATTTTAATTTATTCTAATAAATAAATAAAGAAATAAATATGTTGGGACATTAACACACAACACCATTATAAATATTTTAGTCCTGAATCTCTCAAGACTAAAAAATTTATAATATGTATGTATGTATGTATTTAAAATTATATTTGAGTAGCGTATCAACTATCTGGTATCCATAACACAAACCTTGTAACTTACCATGGAACTAGATGGTACTGAGTGTTAATGTCCCGACATATTTATTTATTTATAAGAACTGTTTACTTAGATAAATTGTTATAAATACAAAAGCAACGTCGATCATTAACCATAAAGAAGAAAATCAACATATAATAAAAATCCTTTTTATCTTTCATATATTTCTTTGATACACCACCATAGAGTTAAGGTTTTATGAGGCATGAACCATCGACACAAGATAAATGATCGCGTGAGGTTGGTACTAACTAAAATATTTGGGATTTATGCCAAATAATAATAATGGAGGCCCTGACCGGAAATTACTTGCAAATACCCTTCAATCAAATAGCATTAAAAATACATATTTTGTCCTGATTTTAACCCCACAATAAATAAAAATAAATTTATTTTCAATCATAGTAAACCTTTATTAATAATAATAAGCCGTTATTTCTGAAATACCTAAATAAAAGTTGCAACTTAATTTCAACCATATTTAGGTACTTAACTTAAAATTAAATTTCTAATTTTAGACTGCCTTTCGACAAAGCTTCTCTAGCTTATTTATATTTCCTATCTAAAACATATATTTTCCAATAAGGTGATTTTAATACATCCATACTTTTAATATTATAAATGTAAAAGTGGGTTTGTTTGTTTGTCTGTCCTTCTTTCACGTCGAAACGGAGTAGCAGATTGGCCTGTTTTTTTGTGGTGATACTTGAAAGGTTAGAGACTGGACAGCGACATAGGCTACTTTTTATCGCGAAGAAAGGCGAAAACATTTATAATCAGAATTACTTGAAACTTGGTATGCTCTTATTATAGATTTACAAAAGTTAGTACACATATATTTATGTAGATATAGATAGTCATATAGATTTATATAGATAAGTAAAAACATTTACAAATACACATACAGAAAGTCCCAAAGATTTGTATAAGTAGTTGTGTTCAAAAGAAAGAAAAATGTTAATGAAAGTAGTAAGTCAATAAAGGCTATTTTTATTTTATTTTATTTATGCTCTTCAATACAATTAAATAAAATCATGTTTTTTACTTAGAATGTCTAACATTAAAAGTTACTGATACAACTCTGAAATTTAAGGAAGCTAACTAAGATCATAAAACTCAAGTCAACACATCGCGTTTCGAAGAAAGAGTGATCGTTTATTGTACAATTATCAAACATAAAGTAGCACGTTTTTAAACAAAATATAAGAATACTTGTTTTGAAATATACCTAGCCATGGAAATGAAGTTGTATTTAGCATTAACATTTTCAAAAATTGCTTAAGCAACTTTAAGTTCATAGTCGCTGACTTCGAAATTAACATTACAGTATTTCAATGTGTGAACGTAGGTGAACGTAGGGTTTCTTAGGATATCAATCAATCAATATGAATGTGATAATTAAATCCTTTCCTTAATTTTAAAAACCAAACGTTTCTTGTGTTATTTTAATGAGTCAAAGAGCCAAAAAAGTTTTGTAAATAAAAGGCGAAACCCATAAATTTCTTTTCGTGTCAAACGTAATATTCGATTTACAACCACTTGTATATGAAAATAAGATTACTTTTCCGATTTGAAAATTCTTAGTTATTTTCAGAAGAATAGCCGATGTTGCTAGGGCTATAAACTGTGGCATCAAATGTGGTAGGCATCTATTAAATTGAATTTTGATTGCTTCAGTTTAATTCTGACTTGTATTGGCTATTAAATGTTATTTCGTTGGTTTTGGTACGTTTACGCTTTAATAGGCTCATTTGCTCGAAATGTTGGTGTCGAAATAAGAAATACACAGCCTAGTTTTACA